CCCACGGAAACTGTGAATGTTGCATTTTTTAAAGTGTTGTCTTTCTCTAGTTATCTCCCCCTCCCTTGTCTATTGTGAGCCGCCCGGAGTCCTTCGGGAGTGGGTGGCATACAAGACAAATAAACTAAACTAACTAAACTAAACTAAACTAAACTATTGCTATGTCACCAGGCAACCAGACAGCAACTTGATTGGACCATGTGACTGGTTGTTTGGGGAGGGGAAAAAATTAATTACTTTTAATTAGGTGAAAACCGCAGGACTTTTCAGAGTCGGTTTTCACCAGGTATGTGTCAATATGATATTTCCAATAAAGCTATTCTTTGAGGAATCTACTTGCCTTGGAGTGTTGCTTGAAATGGATCTATGTAGTGATGGGATTCAAAAAATTTTGCTACCGGTTCTGTGGGTGTGGCTTGGTGGGTGTGGCAGGGGAAGGATACTGTAAAATCTGCATTCCCTCCCCACTCCTGGGGGAAGGATACTACAAAATCCGCATTTCCTCCTGATCAGCTGGGACTCGGGAGGCAGAGAATAGATGGGGGCTGGGCCAGTCAGAGGTCGTATTTACCATTCTCCGGACTACTCAAAATTTCCGCTATTGGTTCTCCAAAACTGCTCAGAACCTGCTGAATGCCATCTCTATATCTATTACTTTAAACCCTGACTGCAGGACCATAACTGTGGTAGAGAAGTTGCAAGGAAGCTCTGAGATTAGAGAATGACAGATCGGTAGCCATAAAGTTTGGGGCTTTCTATTTGTATTAGGAAGATTGTGCAGTAAATAAATAAATAAGTGTGTGTGTGTGTTCGTGTGTGTGTGTGTGTGTGTGCCAGTTGATGAAGGTTTGCGAAATCTGCATCTTTAACTGAAAGTCTGAAGGGTCGGTAGACAACGGCGGCCAGCCAAAAACTCAAATTGCCTTGAGCCAAAGGAAGGTTGGCTGCATTATTAATACGGACACATTAAAATCCAGCAGGGATGCTTTAATAGCTGGAGCGACATATATTATCTCTATGGTGCACCTCAATACATTTTAGAGATATTTTCAGGAAGCACTAATTACATCCAATTTCAGGATGGGCTCTAATCTGGAATACAAATAACCCAGCTATTTTGTAACATAACTCTTTAATTCACCTCAGGTATTGCTTACTGCTGAACCAAAGTTCAGGTGTTAATCCAGAACAGGGGTATCAGGCAACCTTAAACATTCAAAGTTCCTAAACAGAAGCCCCTCGTTCAATTCTGTAGCTGACCACAAGTCTAGTTCCCCCATCATAGAGTCTCCTCCTAGCATGGCGTCCTTTTTCCTCTGTTGACCAGAAATCCAGTTCCCCCACCATAGAGTCTCCTCCTAGCATGGCGTCCTTTTTCCTCTGCTGACCAGAAATCCCATTCTCCCACCATAGAGTCTCCTCCCAGTGTACCATCCTTTTTCCTCTGTGGACCGGAAATCCGGTTCCCCCACCATAGAGTCTCCTCCCAGTGTGGCATCCTTTTTCCTCTGTAGACCGGAAGTCTGGTTCCCCCACCATAGAGTCTCCTCCCAGTGTGGCATCCTTTTTCCTCTGCAGATTGGAAGTCCGGTTCCCCCACCATAGAGTCTCCTCCCAGTGTGGCATCCTTTTTCCTCTGTAGACCGGAAGTCTGGTTCCCCCACCATAGAGTCTCCTCCTAGCACCGCATCCTTTTTTCCCTATCTG